GTCACCCATAGCAATTACTTGGTGTGGCCATAGAAAATAACCTGTCACATGTCCAACCTATCCTCCCCCTGCTGATTATAGTACAATCCCTCAATGTAACGTCATTTGATCCCATCCCATTATGGAGTTCCCCCGGCTATATCCAGCTGTCGGCTGTCTCCAAGCAGAGGTGGTGAGGGAAGTTCTAAACACAAAAGGTCTGCTACAGTAACAACGGAACCCCCACGACTCTCATCTTTGAACTCAATCTTGGAGACCACCACAGTAACATGCCTATCAAATTTCATTAACTTCCATCCACACATACAAAAGTTATCCTGCTCACAAGAAAAATTAACAAAATGCCCCCTGTAGTCACAACGAAACCCCCCACGAAGCTCAGTAACGAACTTAACCTTGGTCCCGACAATAGCAACCACCACACCAAGAATTATAATCAACATTTTACAAATACTTGAGTTATTTTGCTAACAAGCCACAAACACAAAAGGTGCACCTACGTGACGCAAGGACCCCCCACGAAGCCGAAACTTGTACTTGACTTCGGCCTCAACAAAGGTAATCTGCCTGCCAAAAATCATGGACGTCGAATCATGCCTTCCAGAGTTATATCGCAAAATCCGCAGTTCCCCACACTCCGGCGAGACAATTTCATAGTCCTTCTGACGAAGACAAATATAGGTTGTTGCGATAACTTTTTCGCAAAATCCGGTGACGCGAACCCCTAGAAATTCCACATAGAACGCAGCTATTTAGGTCATCGGGCGACAAACCGCATCGCTCTTGCTCGCGGACTAATACCAAAAACGCTTCGCTGGCCGTCCAACTTCAACGCGCCGAAAAACACTACAATCCCAAGGCTTTTTGATCAATTCAAAACCTAGTTGAAAATCTACAGCGATCGCCGAGCTATGGGGAGCCAAACCTAGCGTGACAACCTCGCAGATCCGGCGATTTACTGCGCACTATTTGGGACCCTGGTCAAAATTAAACTCCGACCCGGAACCTGAAGAAAGATCTCTTTTTCTAGAATGAATTTGAAGTACCTATGTGTTTTTTAAACAAAAAAACTGAATGGTAGGTGTGGGTTATTGCCCCCATAAAAGTAGGTGCTAATCTGACTCTTCTGTCTTCTTCTGTATATTTTTAGATTTCACTGCTGGACACTAGTGGCTCTTTTGTAGTAAGTCATCCATGCATGGCGCTAGGGCAGACTACCCTGTACTTTACAGGGATGTGTGAATTACTTTCTTCCCAGCTCGCTTACCTAATTTTAAAATTTTAGAAACAATTGTATATAATGGCTGGTAAAATGCTGTTAGAAATTAAAAAAAAAATATTGGAAATGTCATATTCCATATCAGGAATATTTCAAAAGTTTTACAAAACCAGGGAATCATCTAGAACGTTGAAAAGTATTAAAAATATTTCCACACTATGAAATTTGAGACTTGGACAAACGATTACAAAGAATTGGAAGCATTTCTTAATAATGATAATAACAACCCACACGGTGACGCAGAATTGACTCTATAGGTGATCACGAACAACTATTTGACAATGAAAGATAGCGTTAACGTTAGTAGCTTTTTTGTTGAGCCCATTTGGAAGCGGTTTGTGGCCCTGAAAAGGGCCGGAGTGCTAGTTAACGGCATTCCAAAGTGCCAGAACTCGGCTTCCAGTGTTTTTCCAGTGTTTACTAGGATGTATGTTTCAATATATCGGAAGCCAAGATCGCTATATTTACAAATTTTACGAAGATTTTACGATAGGAACTGCCCGGCGTACTAGTATACACAGTGCACGGGCAGGTCGTTGATCGGTCTGACTTGGGGCTGAAATGGGTCGTTGGTCGTGTTGAATGGATAGGCTGAAATCGGTAGCGTTTTGGTCGTAAATTTTGCCCATTGATTTCTGATAGTCGTAATCTGGGCTGGGATTGGTCGAATATTGGGACATTCCAGACCAGTTCACGACCATATCCATCGCGTCGACTAATTCACGACTGAGTAACGACTAAAAAGTCTGAATACGGTCGTTTCATTTCCACCACTCAAAAACGACTATAGTTGTCGTGACAACAAGTAACGTTGCCAGGACTACAGCAACAACAATAACACTCGGCCGCCATCTTTACCGCGGTGAATACTGGGATTGGGACGCATGTCACCGTGGTGACGGTTTCCTTGGCTGCGAAAATGATTGACAGCTAAGCGCACCACGTGCATCAGGCTTCGTATCAACTCCGGGGAGTGACGCATGTCACCGTGGTGACGGCTTACGTATCTACCGGAATGATTGACATGTCAGGGCGTCACGTGATTGGCGGCTCGGAGGCCGCGGTTTTTGTCGTGGTGAGGACCTACATCGGACCAAATAATGCGTTCGCGTTTGTTCCTGTTTCAACTATGTTTACAGCTATAGGTGTAATATTTTCTATGTCATGAAACCCCACTTCATTGTGCTTTTTTGGGGAATGTCAGAAATAGTCGGGCCGGACACAACTCATAAACAAAAGTTAAAACCCAGGACTGCGTTAGTACCGTAGGTATCCACAAATCCTTTTATATGATACTGCTAAAAGAAACAGACTTTAAGAAAAATGTCAAGTAAACACATTCTCCTTCAGACTTCGTTAAATTTTAACATCTAAAATAAAGAGAGTAACGTTGACATTTTCCAACAATGACTACTACCTTTAGTTTTCAACAAACCGCATATAACTTAATAACAGATATGACAAAACATAGCGCAAAACGTAACATACAATTAACATACATAACAGAACGATACAGATGACGGAGTTATTCACTTAAACATCATGACATACATAATACATGAAGACGAAATACATATAAACATGACAGACATAATACAAGAAACATATAAAGTTAGTAACATATAAACGTCATGACAGACGCAATACAACAAACAAGAACAGTGTTAGTAACATCAACACATGCATAACACAATAACACAATACATAACATATCATAACATGACCCGAGCAAGGATCTAACCCGCGCCCAGCTCGCTAGCAATGGTTCGCAGTGCAGCGCGCTTACCAACTGAGCTAAGTCGGTAACGATGACAGCGGCGTCTTTTTACCTATTATTGAAGTTATGGAGGACTGACAAACGACTAGTACACGTAGCATATTTGTATCGCTTTCAGGGTTGTATGCTTGTGATTAATATAGAGGGGTTTCATGTATTTGAAATATGTGAAAGTTTTTTTACTACCTAAATACTGCCGCGGTCGTTTAACAGTCGTGTATTGTCGTATTTGGGTCAACGCCTTCCAGAGAGGTCATAGTGTGGTACATCCTGATGACCTAAATGATTAAAACGTTCTCGACAGATTCAGCACATTCTACCACCCACCAGAGGAAGGCAACAGCGGCCCGGTCACACTCGATCATCAAAAAACTGAACCCCGGTAAGGCCGTACGGGACGTTACATGAACAGTGCCCAGTCATACATGCAACTTGGACTCCTTAACAACTTAAGAGAGATATTATAGTGACCTTGACCATTTATATCACCTGTTTATAATTAGCCTGAAATTGTTGTGCTTTTTAACTTGTCGTAGTAATAGATACAAATATTTTTAGTAATCCTTCAGTACTCATACTACATATGTAAATATGTCTTCATCATGTCTCTATCCGAATTGTAATTGTCCTGAAGAAATGTAGCCGTTACGGCTGCAACCTTTGTGACCGTGGTATTGAAATAAAACATTCATATTGTTTCTTATCTTTTCAGAAACAAATTTACCACTGTACTGCTTTCGTTACATACTTGATGGTAATATGTTTGTAGTAATATACATCAATTGTTACAATGTATCTATACAATTACTTACAATTGTTATACCACCATTATACTCTTACTGATTCTTTCTAAGATTAACTCAATAGATCGCATCAGTTGGACAACCCCAATTTCTTTATGTGTATAGCCTGAATCGGCGGCAGTTGGATACATTACGCCGAACGACTTCTTGCGCCTAACACAACTAACTCGAAAAGAATCTATATCTGCCACAAAGATTCAGATACCGAAATACAACTACATACACAGTTTCAGAAATGCTTTATTTCATGAGAAAACTTATTTCCATCAATTTCTTTCCATTATTTCCAAAATTCTTACATTTATTCTCATTTATTTATTATTATTATTATCATTCAAATATACTTATGACAGAGAAACATATGTAAACATTGCATAGCCATGTGTAAACTTCGCACTAGTGATAATCTCTTACGTATAGAATCCGGCAGGCATAGCCGTACCCCTCTGAAAGATAGAAGGTGCGAATTCTGTAATCAATTATATGTTGAAAACGAGATACACTTTCTACTTGACTGTACATTATATAAAGATGAACGACAAGAGCTCTTCCATACTTTTAAATGACAATTAGACAACATATGTAAGAAAATGTCAAAGCAGGACATGTTTAAACACGATGTCATGCAAGAACGAATGTAAAGTATTAATTAATTATGTTTCCAAATGTTTCAAAAAAAGAGAACTAAGGGCAACTAACAGTAGATGATAGGTAGTATATAGTATTGTTGTAATGTATAGATTTCTAGCACTTTGAATTAGAATATATATATTATAACAATAATATGTGGAAGACGAAACGCATTTTATATCAAATTGTACCCTCTATAGCAATGACCGAAATGAACTCTTTGACGTAGCCTCCAGATTCTACCCAAACTATCACACATATACAAATGAAAAGAAAACCACTCTCCTCTTAACATCCGAAAACCCACTAAATTATAGAAAAAGTGGGATCCTTTGTCTTCCTCTGTCTTCAAAAAGTGAAACCCAGTAGTTTTTACCAGTAGATTCTTAGTAGTTATCAATAGTTCTATATGTACTTATTGTCTGTTTTTATACCATATCTCTTCTGTTTCTGCAATTAGCCTTCGGGCAAGAATTTGCAATAAACAATTGATTATAATTATAATACTATTCTACTGTACTTTCTCTATTCTTATCAGGAAGATGCTCATGTCGATTGTGATGTCACCTGGCACCTGGAACAAATTAAGACACTGTTGTACTAATCATCATTTACCGTATCTACATATACTTATGTATGCGTGAAATAACTCGGTTGATTTATTCACAGCAAAGACAGGGGAGGAAGTAAACGATAAATGGTTAATGTCTTCAGATGTATTTACTCAGATTTACCGAATCAAGCTGTGCGAAGGCAGGATGCTGTCTGCCTTCTTCAGTGAGTTCCTGGACATGTAAAGTCACTGAAACAGAAAGGTATTCTTATCAGTTGGCCTATCACATTAACTTTTGAAAAGAATTGTCAGCATGTTGCTTCGGCATGGGGAAGGGGAGCATAGTGATTACGAATGGCGCAAAATCACGGACGCAGTTTAAGAATTACGTTAATCAGGACGATTTTGAAATCAGCTTACGGTGTACTAGTAATTCACGGATTACGTTTTACGTTGTATAAAGGTAACGCCTATGCTTAATGTAGTATATATGATTGTATAAGCGCCTTTTCATCCCATATCACCTAGTATTGTACTACGTAGACGGATTTGTTAGATTTGTTCTCTCATTTCTGCCATACTTTGTACCTTGTACATTGTTGTGTAATAAAAGTCTGTATAAGGGACCAATTACGCCTTACGGCGAATTTGCTGCTGCTGATTTTGTTTTACTTACCTGCTTCCCCCTGACGAGACCTCTCCTCCGCCGAGGCCAACAGAGTCCCATTTGGCCTCGTTACTGTAACCCTCAGCGCTGACGATGCTGTGGTTGGTGGTGCCTTTCTAGAGAAATGATATATTGAAGATGTCTTTATTACCTCCAAGAAAATGAAGCTATTGTTTTTTTGGCGCGCGCGTGTGTGTGTCTGTGTTTCCCGTACATTTGTAGTCAGCATAACTTCATAACGCCTTTATGGATTATAATGATATTTGCTATGTTGGTAAGTCTTGGGAAGAGGAAGGTCAAGGTCAAATATGGGTCTCTTGGTGGATGACCTTGGTACTGAAGCAGAATTTGCAGCTGGTAGCTGCCACCGTACAACATACACCGGTGTACCTCACGGGTGGCATTAATTACATGACCCGGGACCACTAGAAGTTTAATAGCTGTATTTGAAAGAAAGGAATTGAAGGTTTTTCAGACATGTACACTATTCGATGCAAAATATGCATATTAACACCCTATTTTATGGAGGTTTGAGATTTACGAACTCTTGTTTGTTCTTGAAGTTTGATTAAAAGATGACATGTTGGCTTTCAGAAGGAAGGTGATGACACATTTATATCAAGAAAAGTCAATACCTTGCTTTCCTGGTCCGTTTTTCGTACCGTCTGTTTTTCAGAACGACCTTAACCTCTTCTCGAACACGCCCAAAGGGCAAATGGGGGAAGGTTTTCAACACCTGGCAATGATGACGTAAGGGTTACTTAATCATGAATGATTTAGATGGAATTTTTAGTCAATTAGCGATGGTGTTTAATTATTGCTGTGTTGTTGACACAATTATACACATGCAAATTATTTGAAGACAAATGGAAATTTTATTGGCAAGCAAATCAGCCAACTGCCAGCCTACCGTGACGTCATATGGCTATCGCTCGTATATATAAAGGCACGTTAAGCAGGCAGAATTGTGTACCATATCAACCGCCTTGTGGAGGTGACGGTGTCCGGAGTCCTCAACACCATATCTATCCAATGCTGCGCGTACTTCCGTCTGGAAAATGGGTAAGTGCAATGTCATTTATTTTTCTTGTTCCCTGTACCTTACAAGCCTGATAAAGTTGAATAAAATAACTTCCGCTACTTATGCTTAGGTCACATTTCCAAACCGGGGCCCGACCGGGCTGTTTGTATGAACGAGAAATTAACAATCAATATGAAGAATATACATGTGAGCGCAAGTGACGCCCCCCTCCCACCCCGACGCTACATACTGTAGTACAGAATTGACGTCCTCGTGCACGCCGCGGCGCTAATTCTACTCAAAAGTACAGAAACCAAACATCAAACTGTTCCTTAGGATGCATATTTTTTTATATCCAAATCCTAGATTGCTAACTTTACAAATTGTTGGAAATATTTAAGGTTAAAAACTGTCTTACCTTACGTGTTCTTGGTTTGCGTTTCATCCACCCAGCGGGTAAAATGACGTCATGACGTGGGGCGCTCTCTGATTGGCTGTGGGGATGTTGCGTGACCACTCCAACAGCCAATGAGGAAGACGAATCACACCTGCGCATTCTTGCTACACCTAATATAACTCAGTACAATTTTCCGATAGAAACCGCCGAAAATCCAAATAAAACGATTATAAAAGCTTGTATTAGAAAAAAAAAATAAAAAAAAGGCTGGGGGTACTCACCCACTATACCTCTAAACTCCCTCGGCAGCAAATCGTCCCTTGCGGCGGCATATTACTCGCGTCGCTCAGAGAAAAAATTACGCCGACGCCCAACAAGACTGCGAAGGAGGCTAGTAACAACTAGTAATGTAAGGGTGGCGTAATTGAAAATTGCTTAGCATAAATCAAACAAATTGTAACAGTTAACGTTACTGTACATAAAATATGAATGGATGTAAATACTCTATGACTACTTGCTATGATGATATACATGTCATGTACTTTCTCATTTGTTTAGATCAAGGACATTACATGTGGTTGCATACAATAAAATGTCACTGCTGGATATACATCTTTTGCCTGTGACTCTCTTGCACGACTACTACTTGAACTAGCAAAATGAGTCCCTATCCCCCCTCCCACCATATAGACGGCATATCATAATCTCCAAGCAGATCCCTCTCGGTGGCAAAAAGACAGTATCAAATTGGCCAGGCAGTATCCATTAGCCAGAGAAGCTCCGCGACCACCGACGACGGGATCTGCAGAAAGTTGCACTGTACAAGGTTATTGACACGTAATTGTTACCTATAATCAAACTGCGATCAAGCCGGGTTAGGAAGAAGGTGTGAATTATGCCCGGCACGCGAGCCCCTGTCCGGCATCTCACAGGATGTATCGTCACAGGTCATTTACCATTACCGTTAGCGGGTCAGTTTGAATTCCAGCCGCGGCAGTAAAGGAGGCGAAAGTCCGACGTGTTTTCCGTGATACCGACTCTTGCCTGCCCGCTTCCATTTTAATGAATGAATGAATACGCCTCCCTCCCACAGAAAAATACGAAGCATTGCTCTCCCCCTTTTCTGCGAAGATAAAGTGCAAATACAATCCTTGCGCTCTTCACAATTAAAACAAAAGTATGCTCGACGTCCACCAGTGATACGCTGGCATATGTCAATAGATAATTCTTCTTTATTCATCGGCAAATTTCGCAATCTAACATTACACAAATTATGCCATGTGGTGAAAATATCCCATGTATATATAACAGTATATTTTTCTCGTCCTTGCAAACAGTAAATAACCAAGTACCTATCTGTCCACTATCCAGGCTTCGAGCGCCATGAGTGCCCCGTTAAATGGATTATCCAACACAGAGGAAATTTACATGGCAAATCGGAAAGGAAACTAACTTTGTGGAATAAAAACAACGTTTGCAAACTTTTAACCGGGAACAAAAAAATGGATAGAACGCCGTGCATCCAAACACAACGTTAGGATAGATATGATCGCCACGCACCAGAAACACCAAAATATATGACTACAGTAAGTAATAACTAATAGTTCATTGTCTTCGTAAGAAGGACTATGAAATTGTCTCGCCGCATTGTGGGAACTGCGGATTTTGTGATATAACTCTGGCAGGCATGATTCGACGTCCATGACTTTTGGCAGGCAGATTACCGTTGTTGAGGCCGAAGTCAAGTGCAAGTTTCGGCTTCGTGGGGGGTCCGTGCGTCACGTTAGTGATTACCGTTGTTGAGGCCGAAGTCAAGTGCAATTTTCGGCTTCGTGGGGGGTCCGTGCGTCACGTTAGTGCACCTTTTATGTTTGTAGCTTGTTAGCAAAATAACTTAAGTATTTGTAAAATGTTGCTTATAATTTTTAGTAGACAGATTACTATTGTTGGGACCAAGGCTAAGTTGGTTAATGGGCTTTAGGGGGTGTCATTGTCACAGTAGCGGAACGTTTGTGTTTAGAACTTCCCCCACCACCTCTGCTTGGAGACAGCTGACAGCTGGATATAGCCGGGAATGGGATGGGATCAAATGACGTTACATTGAGGGATTTTACTATAAGTTCAGCAGTGGCAGGATAGGTTGGACATGCGACAGGTTATTTTCTACGGCCACACCAAGTAATTGCTATGGATGACGTCCACTGGAGACCTCAAATTTAATGTGAAAGCGCAATAAAAATATGAAGGGCTGAAAAAGGAGATGATATTTGGAATATACTAACTGTAGAAATACAAATGTTATGACACAAGTCACACAAGTTGAATAAAAGCACGCAGTGTAACAAGAAACAAGCCTTCTATTCGTCATAAAGAAAAATTAACAAACAGCAGTAGTCGCCCTGTTCTGATTCTTTCCTTTGTCACATCTTCTCTTATTATATTTTGCGACACTGTCGTGACACTTTCATCATAATACTGTAACTTACAGTGTAAGAAGAATTTCTTGTAAGTTTTTTTCCAGTAACAGTCCAACAATATCGTAGGGTGGGGGTCTAACACGGGTGACGGCGCGTCTATAAAATCTGTGGCGAACCCTTTCAGGGTGTTCTGTAGCATAAAAACGAGTACAGAGATTCTTTTAGACCAAATTGACTATTAAAAAGAGTAAAGAATACACATGTTCATTTCTCTAGAACCATGTACCGCTGACGAAGACATGAGATCTCCGACGTCTAGTTATGTGTTGAAAATCCAATTTATATATATTTTTTTGATATCGAACGTTTATTTGGTAATTCTGTACGTAATCATGTTAACTCTGCTACGTTGTAGTGCTGTCGCTGTCAGCTGGCGGTATGCTAATAAGTCATCTGCGGTTTACTGCCTCGGGCCGAATTGCACTGCAGCGCGCTGGGCGGCCTCGTAAAAGCATTACCGCTACCAGTTCACAGATTGTGGGAAATAGGGGCACGGGGAGGGACTTTGACACATTTCTCGAAGAACTACTCCTCCCCTTGTTCTCTGTGGCTGCGACTTTCGGCAGAGGTTGGTGGGGATCAGGACATAAAATAAATATATAAAAATGTAACGATCATTCCCCCACAACCTCTGCTTGGAGCGTAGACATATCAAAGAAAAGTAGAAAATGGAGGGTGACCCTTTGGCAGTGACACCCTCTCTGAAAATTTTCTACCACAGATCACACGTCTCACAGGTTATCCCAAACAGGACTTGGCTATAAACATGTAGACGTGGATCCGGGTGATAGTCGTGTGTTTGTTTTAAGGTTCAACAGATCCGTGTATGGTTCCTGATCAACATTATACAGCATTTGGGCATGGTAGAAGTACCAGTATGGACTCATAACATATGCAGAATTCTGTGGAAAATGCTTTAGGATTTTATATTATGATTGATTTTCCACAAAGATTGGCTTGCTTGTACAAAATGATTAAATATATTGAATTTTGCCATGCGAATAAATGATAGTATTTCGAAACGGTGTCAAGTCAGTGGCCTGCTGGAGTAATGTATAAAACATACCGCGGCTAAGAATTAGGTATCATGCAATTTTTCCTTTTTTTACCAGGTGTTATTGCACCATTTTAAATCAGTAAGACACACCAGAACGTCCTTAAGTAACTTTTGGGACTTGAATATACCACGGCAGTAACAACAAACAAAGCTTTGATATCAACCAGCCGCAGTTACACGTCGACATAAAGGAGTGTTTGAAAAGTGTTTGAAAAGTCAAACTCTGCACAAAATATACCAATATTCGGCCACACGAACTTCTTCAAGGTTTCTTCAAGGCTGATACCTCTTGTAAGTCCAGTTTTTTTAATTGGTCGTGGTATATCAGGTAATAATGTCGCCCGTCTCTTTGTATAATGTTATATACCAACTACCCAGTGTCAGACGGGCATCGCTGTATTCTCATTAATTTTCTAGCAAGGACAGTAACATACATGCAATCTTGTACGAACTGATATCAGCATACAATTTTAATTCAGTGCTATCAAATTGCAGTTTGAAAGTTCATTTAAGATTCTTAGTTAAAATGTAGCGATTACAGATAGCATTTAAAACGTTTATGCCCATAGCTCAACGAGATGCCGTTAGGTATCCCCATACATCTTTCATACTTTTATTTGCTTATTTTTAATAGATCTACTCGAAAAAGAAGAAACTCAGCAAGTCAGAGCTGAACTATATCTTTGGTAAAATGACGTTTAGAGTCATCGCATGAGAAAAACAGGCAGTGGCCGGAAATTGGGGTCGGTCTAATCCGCTTATATTTACCTTCGCCAAGAAGGTTATATTTTCAGCGTTCGTCCGTCCGTCCGGTTGTCTGTCTGTTTGTCTGTGAACAGCATAACTTAAGAAGATTAATATGCATTGTCATGAAACGTGGTAGGTGGGTAGGTCTTGATGAGACCCAGAATTTAAAAGATTTCGGGCCCTCTGGCGGCTTTTGTTGGTACTGCAGCTGAACTTCCGGTTTTGATATTTTGCGATATGGACATGCTAGGGTCACGAATTTTGCTTGGTACATAGCTCTTGTGGTTGGTATATAGCTCTTGAGGTAGGGAAGAAGTTACATAAGTTTGGACCCCCTAGCCGTTTGTTCTTGAACTACAGGAGCATTTGTTTAAAAAAAATCGAAGGATGATAACTCAAGAACCGGTTGACGGATTTTTGGTATGTAGATAGCTGAAGTGGTGCTTGACATAATCATATGATAAGTACGCAAATCAGGAGCTATTATTATAAAAGACACGCCACACATACAGACGCGGCGCCATCTTGGATTACTGTTGTGCGCCGTCACACTCACTATCTACAGACATTTCTGGTGCGCCTCCCTTGACTTAGAACACGCTAACATAGTGACCAAAGGTAGTGGCTACGGAATATACGGAGGTTTGAACGTATTGTACAGCCGAGGCGGAAATTTACAGCGTTCACCCAGCTTACTGAGCTTAGGGATAACGTCGCTAGTCAACCCACTCAGCCTGAATACAACAGGGGCTACGGGGCGCCGACACCGCTGGGATTTAAGGGTCCACATGGATTTCTACTGGCTATCCTAATTTTATCGGGTGACATTCATAGTAATCCCGGTCCAGTTAGGTTCCCATGCGGGGGTTGCGGGCGCG